AATCTGAGCTTTATGGGGTCTTTAAAACTAACGTGTGCGCACGTACGCACGCACAAACACACACACACACACACACAGCAGCAGCAGCCCTCTACTTGCTACAAACTTAAATATGAAAAGGTTAAACTACGCACACCACATAACACATCAACTCGGCTTGCGCAGCACACTCACAGTAATCTTCTTCTTTTTTTTATTTAACCTTTATTTAACCACATAAAAACATTGAGATAAAATCTCATTTTCAATGCTGACCTGGCCAAGAAGGCAGCAACGTTACACATAACACAAACATATAAAATACAGAGAACATAACTAAGAAAACAAAAGACGAAAAAGCAGTCACTACATTGTGCACATTAGGACAGTAAGGTCCTAAAAACACTACTTATTACTGCAAGAGCAGCTGGTGGTGAGGACTTCAGACAACTTCAATTTAAAACATACTATTGAGACAAGTGCCCTCAGTTTTAGGCTTGATTGAAGGTCATTCCAAGACCAAGGACCATAATAAAAAAGACTCCTTTTTCCAGCCTCAGTCCGCACAGCAGGTACCTGGAACCGTATCCAGGCACTGGATCTGAGGTTGTAAGAGTCACAAACTGGGGCAAATCTGGCACATATGTAGAGTGGAAGCTTACCTAAAATGGCTTTATACATTAATAAAAACCAATTCTGCATCCCACGCATACTAAGTGAGGACCATCAAGTTAGGCTACAGTATACAGTTTGCAATGATGAGTCCTATAGGGTGCATTTGATATATAACGCAGTGCAGCATGGTAGAGTGGGTCAAGTTTGGCCAAAACAGTGGGACAGGCAAATCTATAAATGGTATCACCGTAGTCCAGCTGGGACAGGAATAAGCCAGAGACCAACCTTTTACGGGATGAAATTGAAAAACAACATTTAAGTCTGAAAAGGAAGCCAAGAGTGAATTTCAATTTCTTTGTTAGAACTTCAATATGGTGTTTAAAGTTCAGATTACTGTCCAACCAAAAGCCCAGATATTTGTAGGTATCGACAAACTCAACAGAGACGCCATCAAGGGTGTCAATGGAGAGGCAAGAGGAGGACGCTGACTTGGGAGCAAAAAGCATTGCTTTGGTTTTCTTACTGTTCAATAGCAGTTTAGAATCAAGAAGTGCATGCTGCAGCGTGATAAAATCTGATTTTAAATTGGAAACGGCCATATCCAGAGAAGGAGCACATGAGTATACAATAGTGTCATCAGCATACATATGATAGGTAGAAAATTGCATCTGATTACAAATATTGTTTACATATAATAAAAAGAGCAAGGGCCCCAAAATAGAGCCCTGTGGAACTCCCTTCTCCAAGGTGACAGGGTCAGAGACAGTACTACCCAACCTGACGCATTGAGTACGATCGGTTAGATAACTCTGAAACCAGCAAATGCCGTTATGACCGAAACGAGACACCAACATAACATTAGACAGAATGTGGTGATCTACAGTGTCAAATGCTTTGGCTAGGTCAATAAACAAAGCAACACAAACTGATTTCTTATCCAAAGCAGCCTTAATATCGTCTAAGACTTTCAGACTGGCAGTCACAGTACTGTGCTTTGATCTGAATCCAGATTGCATAGGGTTAAGGATGTTGTGTGAATTTAAAAAAAGCTTTAGCTGAGTAGAAACTAGGGACTCAAGAATCTTTGATAACACAGAAAGATTTGAGATAGGACGATAGTTATTCAACTCCGTGGGATCACCAGCTTTCAATAGGGGCGATACCAGAGCTTGCTTCCACACAGCTGGCAGTGTGTGAGAGGACAGGGAGAGATTACAAATATCAGTTACTGGTAGCTGCAATTTTTAAAAAGAACGGGTCGAGGCCGTCAGACTTTTTAGGATCAATTGAGTGCAAACCCTGTAAGACTTCAGAGACCGAGAAATAAGCTAAATCAAAAACAGGGGAGTTCATCTCTTGACTGTGGCTGTGAGTACGACCATTTAGAGAGTCATGACTTTGCTCATCAAAAATGTGACCAGCCTTTTTGAAGTGAGCATTAAAGGCATTAGACATACCATCTGAATCTGAAATAAAAGAATCACTGACCTTCAGTTTTTGTGGGAAACTAGAAACCTTCTTGTTCTGAAGTTATTTAATTGTTTTCCAGAACTTAGAATGGTCATTAAAACAATCAGTGGTTAAGCTCAGATAATAATCAGCTTTAGCTTTTTTAATAAGGGCAGAACATTTATTTCTGAGGACACGAAAAAGAAGCCAGTCATCACTAGTGTTAGACTTTCTAGCTAAGGACCATTGCTTATTGCGATCATGAATGAGATCAGATAGTTCTCTAGTAAACCATGGAGTGTTCCTATTCTTAACTCTGAATTTTCTAAGGGGGGCATGTCTATTAATAATCGATAAAAAGTGATCAATAAAAAATTGGACGGCAACATCGATAGATGGAATTAACGCTATGAAGTGCCATTTAACCTCCGCCAGATCGTGTAGGAAAGCCTGCTCAGAGAAGTGTTTGAAGCAGCGCCTGAGCACAATAAGGCCCTTGGCTTTGGGCAACTTAGTGCTCCTAACGCAAGCGATAGTGCAATGGTCACTGATATCATTAGGAAAAACACCAACAGACACATACTTATGAGCTGCATTTGTTAGAATGACATCTATAATGGTATCGTTATTGGGTTTGGCAGGGTTTATTCTAGTGGGACTATCAATAAGCTGAGTTAAGTTCAAAGAATCACAAACCTGCTTAAACTGTGAAGATTTATCACTCAACCAGTCCCAATTTAAATCACCCAATAATATGATTTCAGAAGAAAACGTAGACAATAATTCAGTAAGGCTAGTAGTTGCATCCATGATGGCCGATGGAGGCCTATAACAGCCAATAACAGTGAGAGGAGCATTTGCTATAGTTATTTCGACTGCTAGCAACTCAAATTGCGTTGGAATTGAAATTGAGTGAAGGACAGAGCACTGTAGTTTCTCAGCAGTGTATATTGCAACACCACCAGCTCTGCCCTTACGATCCACTCTGAATACATTATATCCATCAATGTGAATAACAGTGTCAGTGACAGATGGTTTTAACCAGGTTTCAGAAACGACAACAATATCAGGCTTAGCAACTAAAAACCAGGTCTTGAAACACTCAGGACTAGGGTTAAGTCATATATTGCGTAATAATTGATTGCGCACCTTGGAGGTGAAGTGCAGGCATATTGTCATTCAAGAGAGAATACAATGCGTAGTTCTTTTGGAAACATGTTTTTCTTTTAGCTTATTTACCTCGTTAACGTAAATAATACTCATTACATTGACACATGCATTATTTGTGATTAAAATAATGGTTGTTGGTAATGTATTAGCGACCCCCACAGATGTATGATTTCACTGCTTTCATAGGAGCTCAGACCCCTCCTTATGGGAGCTCAGCTCCCATTGGCTCCCACATAACTCAAACCCTGGGGTAGAGGGTCATGGGTGCAAGTGGAAGGTTTCATCCTGCGGATGATGTCATCAACCTCTTGCTGAGAGATCTCCAGGAAGCAGCAGAGAGGCTGGAGAATCCCAGGCTGTGGGTCGACAGTAGACTCAGAAAGAGCGCAGGAGCTGGAAAGAAGAGAGTAAATGGTGTCGACTTTGGTCCTAAAGAACGTAATGGAGCTATTGCACAGCTCTTCTGTGGTATTGGTGTGTGAAAGAGTTTGTGGCTTGAGGAAATTATAAATAGTGGAGAAAAGCTGCTTGGAGTTTCACAGATGTTTATTGATGATGTCGGAGTAGAACTGTGACCGTGTTTTGTTGTGTGACTTTGAATAGGCGTTTTGATGTTCTCGATAATCTGTGAACAGTGAGTCCAAATGCCGCTCGAGTATACGCCCAGCTGCCTTCATGTTCTGTAGCTCTGAAGTGAACCAGGGGGCTGAGCTTGAGAAGAGTTCAGCCTCCTGACAGCCTGGTGGAAAAAACTGTTCTTTAGTCGGATGGTATTCCACCTCAGGCTGCGGAACCTCCTCCCTGAAGGCAGGAGGGTGAAGAGGCAGGTGGAGGGATGGGTGGGGTCACCAACAATGCTGAGTGCTTTGCGGGTGAGGCGGGTGTTGTAGAGGTCCAGGAGTGATGGGAGTGAGGCACCGATGATCCTCTCAGCTGTGTTCACGACGCGCTGCAGGGTCTTGCGGTTGGATGCTGTGCAGCTTCTGAACCACATCGTGATGCAGCTGCCTAGGACGCTCTCGATGGCGCCTCGGTAGAAGGAGTGCCTGATGCTCCTGCTCTCTTCAGTTTGCTAACGAAGTAGAGGCGCTGCTGGGCTTTCTTGGTGATTGACGTGGTGTTGTTACTCCAGGAGAGGTCCCCTGTGATGTGCACCCCCAGGAATTTGGTGCTGCTCACCTGCTCCACAGCAGCACCACCGATGGTCAGTGGGTGGGGTGTTGGGTGTAGGTTCTCCTGGAGTCGACAACAATCTCCTTTGTTTTCTCCACATTGAGAAAGAGATTGTTGTCTATGCATGTGTGTGGGGAATATCCAGTAATTGTAATAACTCAGCTGCAGGGGGGCAGGAGGGGTGTCAACGTGGATGTTCAAATCCCCAAGTATGACAGATGTTGAACAGAGTGAAGTTAATTTATCTCTGAGATGAAGGCTGGATTTGGTTTGGGTGGTTGGTAAATGAGAAAAATATTCCTGGGGAAAATAAATTGTAGTTTGCAAAGCGAAAAAACTACTAAGTAGATGTATATAACTATGTAGCAAAGTAGCTTGCTAGAGTGCAGAGAGAACTGAAATTGGCTCAGAGGGAGAAGCAGTGCGAGCGTCCTCACCAAACGTTTCCTACACAAAACTCACACTATCGCTCATTAGCTAAATCAGTAAATACTGACAATATATTTGATTCAAAACAATATAAAATGTTGGTCTTCTGTTTAGTTAACTTATGAAGTGATAAAGTATGATGCACTATTCTGACTCCAATAATAACATGTATCTTTATCTTGTAGGCCACATCTGACAACACGGTTTTACCAAATGGAATCGTCCAAGGACATGCCTACACTGTCACAGGTGTGAAACAGGTGAAGGTTTTTAAATATTTTAACATCATTCTATCTATCCAGTATACATTATTTGGGCTCTGAATTTTGAAAGTTTTAAGGTAATAAAGGCTTAAAAGTGGGGTAGGTAAGTTTGAGAAACCGGCTCGAGATACACTTTTTGTTATATTCCATGGAATGCTCTTAACATCCCGATAGCAATGCATATCTTAAGGCGAGACACGGCAGGCAAAAACATCGTTTTTCCTGCACTGGTCAATTTTGAGATTTTGTGCTATTTTGATTCCATTTTCTTTCAGGCTTTTGGAAGGAAAACGTACAAAATACACATTTAAGTGTTTATTTTACTATAGTTTGTCTATTTGCGTCTGTAGATTTCTCCTACATTCATCAAAAGTTAGCATTCTAACGTAACATAAAGTACCGCGACCGCTGTTTGCACCATGTCTTCAGAGGTATCGTTGGAAAGCTCCGTTTCTCCTGCACAATCTCATCGGATCCAAATATGGTCATTTCCTTTGTATCAGCAACCAATCGTGAAAGTGCAAAGGGGTCTTAAACCAAGAAACAAAATCTCATTGGCTGGTGTCAATTTCTGACAACGTGATTCGTTCAGATGCGTCACGTGGTGTGCTAAAGCACTTCCTGGTTAGCTTTCCGCTAGAAATTTAAATCTGAAAATGGCAAAATAACGGAGAAAAAAACGTTCACAGAGAAGACGACAACAATTGTCACTTGCACAAAGCAAGGTTATACAAAAAACAAATGACCCCGAACATGAAATACCTTCATGGAGTGCGTCGATGCGCAAGCTATCATCCAGATAACAGGAGGGTTTAGCTAGCGTCACACTGCAATCTTTAAAGGTCGTTTTCTCAAAATGAGTTTTTTCTCCTACTCTGAGTTCGAAATTTCCACTTCAGTAGCAGTTACATACACCAAACCTTCCAGTTATATTCCTATCAATATTATGAAGGCTTTTACAGAAGGGTTTGGTCATATATAATTCATAGCCTGAATTATATAACATTTTATACCTAAAAACATGGTGAAAATTGATATTTTAGGGCTGTTGACAGTATTTTCTGATTTATGGAGTGATACAAAGAGATATCCAAAATCGCTTCTGTAAAAGCCTTAGATACTAATATGACTACAAAATGAAATAATAATTTTGATCCTGGCTTTATCCAAAGTTCAGATTTCGGTTCCTGAAATGTGTTAAAATATGCGCATATTTCATGAGATAATGGTTCATTTGCATATTTAAACATGCTATTTCAGAAAACTTGTAATACAAAAAACAATTTCCTTATTGTAAGTAATTAACTGGAGAAATTTTTAGCTGATATCTTTAAGTTAAAAAAAGTACCCTATTCACCTGGGGTGTCTCGCCTTAAGTGCTTTGACAAAAAAATCCATAAAAAAATGCAAATAGCCGGCCCGGCTAAAATAACTGGATGGCCTACCTGCCTGTCAGCCTTCCATCTGTGCACAAACTTATCTCGTGCCCTCATTGGTCATGTGCGCGTTCGTGTGTGTTGGAGGAGGGGCTCTGTAAGGAAGTGGCAGATTTTTTCCGGCTGTGTATTTTCAAATTCTAGCGCACTCGAGCTGGTTTCTCCAAAATTACCTACCCCACCTTTAAATTGCAATATACGCTATCAGGGTATACCTATGATTCAGATTCCCGGATGGGATTGCCTGCACACGGGTCGCACAATTGCGAGAACTGAGCTGCTAACGATGCTAACAATAGTGTTAACCTGCATGAGGAAGTGGAGGGTAGGCGATGCTCCTGACACCGTGGGTTAGGAAGCTAATTACTAGCCAGTCAGACATGAAAGAAGGGGTTCACATGCGGGGCCGGATCAGCTATCAACACAAAAATCATGGAAGCCCTATTTACAACGAATACAGATGTCTTCCATATCAATACGTACATACAGTATGCTATATTAATGTGAATCTGAAAGTCATATACAGCACCTTCGGGTTGGCATCCATTCTGTACTCGTATGTGTTTACAGTTAAGTTTACAGTACATTTGAATTTTATGGGACGAAAAATATTCATGTTTTCTCCGGTCATTGCTGGTCAGATTCTGAGCCGAGGGCAACCGGTAAACCTGGTGCGTTTGTGGAACCCCTGGGGCCAACAGGAGTGGATCGGAGACTGGAGTGACAAGTAAAAATGACACAGTGACTGTTTCAGAGAAATTACTTTTATCTGTTGCTTCGGAGATAAAAGACTGAGATAATTTTTCAAGTCAATACATTCCAGACATGTTCATTTTAGCACAAAGGCAAATTACTAAGAGTGCTTTGCCAACAATCCATGTTATGATAATCACCTCTAAAGAGTTCAAACACACTTATTGATGCTTTTGATCAGAGCCATGAGAATCTTCCTGCAACCATGTGCAGTTTATAATAACCTTTATAAACTGTTAGCAGTGATTAAAAGTAAAGCATGGCAATGGAAGCCAAGTTATGTCTTCTTTGATCATATCTCTAAGGCTTTTTTTTTTTTTTATTATTTAAGAATGTACATTATTTTACATCAGTTAATGAAAATATATGCTAGTGAGGGTGAGATATCCTGAACAATAGTGCCTTGTATGCCAATTTTTTAGCTTTTTCAAACTCAATGTAAACTTTATAAATAGGGCTTTTAACTGCTGCTTTAAGTCTAAGCTAAAATACTGTTGCTCCTCGAAACCATCTACTCTTTGCCCATATTTGCAAAAGTGCATATGGTCAAGAAAACAACAACCTGCCAACCCTTATATGCTCTTGATCATGAGTTTGCCCACTTGCGCACAACAAATGTAATTGCCTTTTGCTGTGATATATTAAGAACAAATCTATAATAATATTGCCTCTTCTCTTGGCTTCGTGAAAAAAAAGGTCTCCTTTGTGGCAGACCGTGAGTCCTCAAGATCGTGAAGTGTGCCTTTCTGTGGCTGATGATGGGGAGTTTTGGTAAGCATGCTGAAATCTACAGTTGACAAATGTTACACTCATTTCTAAAATAATAAATGTGCATGCTGATGTATAGCTCACTTAGAGTAGAGCTGGCGACCCATATGGTGCTCAGTGTTTCCCCTAGGATGGAGTCATAGCAGCGGTGCTAAGGCACGTGGGCCCAGCATAATGTGAGCGCGGAGCACGTGGAATTTTTTTGTGTGTGCGCGTGCGAAGTGCGCCCCGCCAATTTGTTTCTATGTGTCTGCCAGCACAAGAAAGGCTCTTGAGGCCTAGTACCAGGGCCGGTTCTAGACAATTTGCTGCCCTAGGCGAGATTTTATATATAAAGAATAAATGAAAAATCTCTACAAAAGACAAATACACTACAAAAACAGAAACTTATTGACATAGGTAATATACGTCAAAATGGCTTCAAATGTATTCAATATTGTATGAACATGTTTGAATTGGGGGATGGACGTCACATCCTCTAGGGGGGTCCGGGGGTATGCCGGACCCCCCTAGATTGAAGATGATCTTCAATCTGGTGCACTTTGAGCACACAATTACTAGAGACCTGATCTAGGGGGTACAACTCTAAAACACCCATATGAAAAAGATCGGTTTACATTTTAATAATCAAATAAGTATATGAACATAACCAATAACCTACCATAGCCAATAACAAATAAATGTAACTTATTTTATTTTTGTTGTTCATTTATATCTTATTTTACCTTAACATTTATTAAGGTAAAATAAATAGCGCCGCCGCTATTTGTATATAGGGGAAACACTGGGTGCTCGTGTAACCCCGCCCGGTGTAGTATCCCCTCGGCAACAGATCACTCAGAGCTGGTGATTACTTCAGTTTAATTCTGCATTGCAGTGGAGAACATAAAAAGGACATGTGGGCTGCGTTCCTTTTAAGAGATCCTCACACGCTATATGTTTTACAAAATGTTTGCATTTCTCACAAAAGAAATGTTCAGTTAACAACAAAACATCAGTTATCGTATAGTGGTAGTATATTTTTCCTAAGCAATGTGAAACATTCAACATAAACAAACTGGTATACAAAACTCACATACCTGCATTTCAGTGGACAGAACATAAAAAGGACACGTGAGCTGCGTTCTGTTGGGAAAATCTCCCACAACCCATTGCCATAACATAGCTAATGCGGGCACACGTTTGTGACACCAGATGGCGTAATTCTCCAATTTAACAAGGATTTTACACCAACCCTTATAACGCTGTTACCAGTGGCGTTTTTATATGTACAAAAGTGGTGGGGCACAAAAAACTTAGATGTCTATATATAAGCTTCTGCAGTGATGTGCAGTGAGGTTCATGGCTGGTGAGGCACTGGCACTGACTCTTCAGGTTTACAAATATTATATTTTGACCTAAACCAAAATATAATATTATTTTCAAAAGCTTTTTTTGTCTGATGCTTCGATTAATTTTAAACAGACAGTTCAACAAAAGGATACCCAAAAAATGTAATTTTATCATTTAATATTGAATTGTTCTCTCATAGTAAGATCCCATTTTCAATAAAATTGCGGTCTTACCTTGACATGAAGATGAAGTCCATTTGTCTATCCTTCTGGACAAAAATGTCTATTACTTTTTTGTAAAAGTCCTCCTTATCTTCTTGTAGTTTCAAAAGTCTATCATAAATCTAATCGATAGATTTATGATTCAAAAATTATAAAAGTAGGGTAGACATGTGGATATTATCCGGCTGAACAAAACGTGCATTTATCTAACAGGTACGTTTCCCACAGATCTTATTTCGAGCTATTTTCTAAAATCCTATGGAGAAATCTCATTGCTTTTTTGTCGAGGGAAGCCACGCGCAGCTTACTTCCTGGTTTTAGGACGCGTCACTGCACCTCTCTCGTCTCCTCTTCACACACCACACTTTTCGCGGCACACGTACTTACAGCCAATCAGCTCTGAATTATGTGAGATGACGTATGGTGGGGATGGCAGCTCAGTGCCCCTATGGCCATTATTTTTTTGCCACACACATTAAATAGGAAAATACTCTGAGCATGCGCAGTGTAGTTTTTACAGTCACCGTTCACTTAGACAGTGAGAGGGAGGGGCATGATCAGGTTTTGTCCCACATGGCTCTAAACAGCTCAATAGGCACACACTGTAGACACTAATTAGAAGAACACAGACTAAAACAGCAATGTACAGACGAATCAGATGATTAACCATGATCTTAAAATATATTTTATATTTTTTTTTATTCATTATTTTTAATACTTTCTGCTGACACTAGGTGGGGCTGTGCCCCACCTGCCCCTCATGACCAGTCGCCACTGGCTGTTACACTCGGTCACCAATCCCCGTGGGGAGGACCCGGGTTCGAAATTAAGCCTGGGACCATTCCCCGTGTTATACCCTTGGACTCCCCCTTTCAACTCTCGTCAATAAAAGGAACTGGAGGCCGAAAAATATCAATAAAATAACAAATGTGTAATATGTTGTGAAATACTCATACAAATACATTGTAGCAACTAAAACTAATTGTAGAACATTAGTACATTAACTAGTTTGTATTTTGAAACTATAGTTTAACATATAATAGGTACAGTGTACGTAGATATGTACAATATGTAGGGTTCCTGAGGCCAATGTCGGTGTTCTTTTTTCATTAATGACCACCTCGCTGCACATTATCTTGCTTATTACATACTAAATAAACCAACAAATTGATTGAGAAATGAATTTAATGATTTAAAATTCTGCTAAGAAAAATAAGTGAGTTTCACGGCGTACCAACTACTGGAACTGGGGCGACAGCAACGTAACTTAAAAAGACGGCAGCACTGATGGAGGTTTTCTGTAACTGTCCAGGTCTGATCACATTTTCTTTTCCATTAACCAGTCTTTAAACACTGCCAGAGCCCATACGGTGTCCCTGTTAGTGTTCACTTCCTGTCTGTCTTCTTCTGCTGTTCCTGTTTAATTCCAGTCTTTCTTCTTCTGCTGTTCCCGTTATTGTTTTCTTCTACTGTTCCTGTTAGTGTTTACTTCCTCTCTGTCTGATTTATCTCAGGTCTAGGCGACAGGCTATCCATCATGAATCCAACGTTTAGTGCTCTCAACAAATATAAAAATGAATATTCTCAATGTATTCAATTATGATGGAGAAAACTAATGTTTGTTGTCCACAACTGACTTTTACCGGACTTCTTTCTGCGGATTGATATGACTGCACATAGTGACTTGATCCTCCTTAGCAACAGTTTGTTTTCCTTAGCAGCTGTGTGTTAACAAGAAATAACAAGCTCTGAAATGTCCAACTTGAGCAATCAGAATTTAGTATTTGATTTAGCTGTGTAATAATCCTGATTGACATTGTAACTCTAGATTATAAATTGATTATATGTTCAGTAACATCTATAGAATATCTATGCAGATTGTATTTGGATGGCTTTCTTAAACTAGTTGAATTTTCTTTTTCTTTGATGGATCAAGTAAACAAACTAAAACAACAGTGAGTAATCAAAAGTGATCTCTGATGTCACTAGGATGACCCTGGAAGACTTCTGCAGGTTCTATAGTGATCTGGACATCTGCTGCCCGTCTCCCGACTTCCTTGATGGAAATACTTCTTGCCACTGGAAGACCTCCCGCTATGAGGGCCGATGGGTTGCAGGAACAACTGCCGGAGGATGCGCGAATAATAGTGGTAGGCTACTTAGAAAACGAATACTCAACTAATACACTATACTAAAAACTTAAATCACTTGCTAAAGCAGCTATAGTCTTTTTTATTTAGACGATACAGAAACAGCTTAAGTTTTATGAAGTTTCATCCAATCGCACGTTGTGAATAAGACCATTGTTGTGCCGTCTTTTTGGGTCCTGCTCAATTTTAATTTGACGAATAATTCCGGTGGTCAGATTGAATACAGCCCGCAGCTTCGGTCTTATAATATATTACTTATGGCCCACTCGCACTGTCAAACAGAATAAATCTTTAAAATGTAATCCCTCCTTTCACCGCATGGTGGCAGCACCTCTCTAAGGGGCCTTACAAATGCCGGAATTTAAGCCGATGGTGTTTGCGTTTGCCTTTTTCTGTTAAACACAACAGAGTCGAGAAAATAATTTTCCTGTGAGGGATTAATAAAGTATGTCTTCTTCTTAAAGACGCTGTATTTTGGTTTTGGTATTTCCTGGTTTGTTTTTGGTGGATCCGCTCTAAAACCCGGAGCGGACTTTTTTGAATTGCCTGTTTCTGGGCCTATGAACTGGATTGAATTTATGTTGGGGTTTTAACCAACTGGACTCTTTGATTAAGAGGATTGAACTGTATATATTGACTCCTTTCACCACACACATTGCACACACACTGATCTTTTATGTGTTACTTTCCCCCATGAAATATATCTGACGAAAATGGAAATTGATGTGTGATTTATTTTGTATTGCTTTTCAGTGATGGAGGAGATATTTCCTGAATTAATTAATTTGTGAGTGGTTTGAATGAAACATTTTAATTTAATATTTTAGATTACTATTTGTCCGACTTGATGTTGACTGGCACCCCACTTTATTCAAAATAGGTCAAACCAGCTTCAAAGTCTGAGGTATTCCATATAATCTATTCAATGTTGTCTGACTCTCCAGATATGAATGGAAGGCAGAATTGTGTTTTTAGAGTTGTTCACGCCTGAGAGGCTTGTATTTGATTCCATTGCCATTTAAAAAATAAAGATAATCGTGACAATGAAAATGGTGATATTACAGTGTATTTGTACGTTACTTTCATGTTTAAAAATGGCCCCCGTCATATTCACACTTTCAAATCTGGCCCTCTTTGAAATAAGTTTGGACACCTCTGACATAAGGAGATCATTTGGTTATAACTTTTTAAAATCTGTAATCTTTGCCTTCCAGACAGTTTCTGGACTAATCCGCAGTACCGGGTCAAGATTGAGGAAGTACTCAGTGAATGTTCTGGGAAACAGGGTGAGAAGAACATGCTGTTGTCTCTGATGCAAAAGCCTGACAAGAGGAACAGACGTCTGGTCCAAAATCTCAGCATTGGATTCTATGTATTTGAGGTAAATATCACTCATTGTTTTTGTCCCATTGCAGAGATCTTTATGATATATAATGCAAAGACATGTTACAACATTTTTAGAGATACTGACATTAAAGTGGACCTATCATGCTATATTTGAATAATATAGTGTAGGACCATACCTATATAAGGCATATTTATACTTTTTTTTTTCAAAATACCAAACAGATCATGCATTTTAGCCATGCCTCATTTTGCTCAATTTGACCATTTCTAGCTCTGTTTTTGCAAGGGCTGATTCTGTGAGAACAGCACCATCTACTGGCCTGGCATATGTACTACAGCGTCTCCAGTGCTTTCGAACAGCAATGGCCGTGGCTGTCTCCTCCTGATTGGTGGAGTTGGCCCAATAGCCGTAGCGCCACCGTCCTGACGTCAGGACAGTGTTCAAATCTGGATCAGTTTTTATCAGATCCGTTGCAGCCCCTTTTTTAGAGATTTGGGTATGGTGGAAAATAGAGAGGGTTGTGTTTTCTGACACTTGGTGAGTTCCCTGGAACACCGGGGACACATATTCATGTATAAAAGACTTACAAAAGTGCATTTTGCATGATAGGTCCCCTTTAAATGAAAGCAAACATAATGCTGTTTTTTCGATTAAGCCATTATTTATTTTTCATTTAAAAAATCAGCAGTAATGTGACTCATGACACTACAAAGAAAACAACATTGTAATCATACCTGTAATATAAACTTTGAGTACAGCTTACTTACTCACCAAGAGCCTGTTTTATTTTTTATTTTGGTACACCTCAAACTTGAAACTAATTTATTTTCCTCTGATTTCTTCGAAGGTGACTGAAGAAGTAAGTAACATTTTTGTCCCAATCCTCATAGACAGTTAATGCCCGCCTACATTGTAAAGCTATAATATAAAACAATATTCTTTAACATTATTTATGACTGGTTTTACAGTACAAGTCACGTAGTGGAAAGTTCCCAGCCTCGTTCTTCAACCCGAACAGACTTGCCTACCAAACTACAAAATACGAAAGCGCACGTGAGGTGATGGGGTTCCTGATGCTAAAGCCTGGCGAGTACCTGATCGTACCGTCCACCTTTAATCCCAATGAGACTGCCACCTTCATCCTGACCATCCTCTCCAAGTCAGAGACCCACGTCCAGTAAGCATTCTCAACTTAACTCTTCAAAAGCTTGTAAAGACATATATGCAACACAAAATGTGTTCCTGGTAAAAAGTAAACGGCTGTTCAACAGTGTTGGGGAAGTTACCCAAACACTGTTCAATCACTGGCATAGCAAGTTAAAACTACATTACTTCATTAGCCGCACAAATAATTTCTTAAAAATTCATTTATAGAACTCCGAAGCCAAGAGAACAACTGATTATTGAGTACTCCATCACACCTATGGAGTACTAAAGGTTATTTTTTTACGCGGTGTTGTCGCACTTCTGGTTACCACCTCTTGCTGTTCTTGTTGACCAGAACTTTCCACAAGCAATGTCCTGATGTCTCGTCTTTCTTTTCAGTGAGAATTCGGGTGGCCATTACCACGAACAACAGGAAGTGATGGTGTGCATGTTTTTTAAATACAGATGGATAGATAGATATATAGATGTTTTGTTACATGTTGTTTACTAGGTTGATAACATTGATATAATTTGAACATTATTGCATTGGTTCATCTCGAGCTGAAAGCACTCAATATATTGCAGGACAAAGGAACTGAAAATGAGGAGAACGACGAAAAGAAGAAACACTTTTTCCGTCAATACTCTGACAAGGTAATTGATGTAGACCCTTTGCAAAGAAAAGTTTCAGAGATTTTGTTGTCTTTTGTACTGCCTCCATTGTTGTGCTATGCTAACAGTTGTAGTGTCCGTACGAATTGAGATTGGAATCGTTCCGATCATCTTGCTCTTGTAAAAAGTACCATAAAGCCAAAAGCGATTTGGAAATGTCCTCCAATTTAAATCGTCTGCGCTTGCATTTTTACACTTGACTTTCCACTTGAGCTATGTCATTATGCTTTTTAGTGTTGTTTGGCTTTTCTTCCTTGGATCAGTCATTTAAGATTTGTTATACCAACCGAAAAATGTGGGCATGCATTAACTTCCGAAGGTAACCGAAGTTATGACAGCCAACATGTGAGCAAAATACTGAATAAGTCCTTTCTTGTTCTCATTTCCAGTACGAAGAAGTGGATGCCGAGCAGCTCCAGAGGCTTCTAAATGAACAAATCCTGAAAGGTTTGAACTTTAAAACCCAGAGAGGCTTGACAACATATGATCTAAAACTATTACTAAACTAAATCAATTATTCAGTGAAGTGGCTGGATTTATTAACATTTAAAAGTGCTGGTTTTTTCTACTTTTATTTAGGAGACTTGAAATCAGGAGGCTTCCGCATTGATGCCTGTCGCAGCATGGTTGCTCTGATGGATGTATCCTCTAATGTCATTTTCATTGAGAATCATTGTGTAGAATTTGTTCTTGTTTCACACATATGAACAGATTTAAAGGTCAGGCTGAGACAGGAAACAATATCTAGTACAGTTATATACCTTAATGTTTGACTAGACGTCAATCACTGGCAAACTCAATGGAGAGGAATTTGTTCGTCTCTGGAAGAAGGTCGTCGCGTACAAGGTAAAAGGAACTCAGTAAAGTTTAAAAATGTCACAGTAAAACAAAGCGGATTGTTGGATACATAAAGGACATGACAGTATGAGTGTGCTCATTGCACCACCCATGAATGATTGGGTTAGGTTCTGTCATGATTTAGAGTTTGTGTTTTCTTACTGTGTTGTTTATAACTCACTGTTTTCTTTACCAGGACATTTTCTTCCGCACTGATGTTTCAAAGACGGGAACACTGTCATTGAGTGAGCTGAGGAATGCTATCATGGCGTCAGGTAGACAATCAGCCTATTCTTTTGTCTTCCATTGACAAAACATAAACTGAATTGTGTGACAATACAAGTGTGACAGTATCATGGCTTAGTGAAGTTGAAAACCATTTGCAACATGTAATGAAAACAACAGCCCTTAATTATGCAATAAACTAAACTCTGATCCTATTTTTTATGTCAGGAAAGAGCGCCAGCGATGACATGCTGAACTTGTTGGCTCTGCGCTACGGTGCCTCCTCTGGACACATCACCCTGGAGAGCTTCATCAGTATGGTGCTGCGCTTCGACTGCATGAGCCGTAAGTACAGATGGGTAACCGATGACAGTACACAAATCCAAAAAGTACCAGAATAATTGTATTGAAATGTTTTTATTGACTTTGAGTGTCTTTTTTGTGTAGTCAGCAAACAATTGCAATAGCCTCTTGCACACATAGTTTGCAGGATATTAATGGAAAGAATGTTCAGGCATAACAGGACATGTTACGTTTATTGTAACAATTCTCAATAACTTTCGGATGGTTTGCCATGAAATGTGTTATGGAAATGAAAGTTTATTAAAAGCTTTGGCAAAGGTCAAAAGTCAGTTCTCATGCATAGCCATTATCTGTCAATATTTTCCCTAAACAGTGCAAGCAGTAAACTTCTTTAACTAAGGATGAGTTATTTTGATGGCTCCTCGAATCCTACAACAAATTCCTAGCAAGACACCTGTGTCAACAATTTCTCTGACTATCTATATTGCTGGCCTTGCATTTCAGAAAATACTATGCAAGTCTTGAATCTTATCAGCTGTTGGCTTAATGTGGGTTTAATAGAGCAGTCAGTAATAATTTGGTAACGCAAACAATCGTTGCTAACGGCAATCGGCAATCTCGATGAGGGTACAGAAGACATGTGCAATTCAAGACAACATTACACGGTCAAAATTCACTCACTGCATAAGTGTTCTGAATCAAAGACATAAAGTGTACTGAGACACGTATCCGTAATTAAGACATAGCATGGGTTAGCAAGTGGAGGCTACAGTGCACCATTGGGTGGACTACTGTAAATGTGCATTGTACCAGCAGCACCCCATTGATTCCTGTATAAAGCAGCACAGGAGTCAAGCAACTTATTGAAGAGATGGTCGTATCCGGGTGACATTACGAACATCTATCATGGCGTTTTAATAGACATGTCTGACTCCCTCTACTTTCATTTACAGTTTGTGGAATACTGCAATAACAATTTGTGTCTTTCTCAATAGAAATCTTCAGCCAGTTGTCAAATGGAATGAACATGACTCTTCGTGAATCAGAGGTAATAAAGGTTATTCAAAGGTGTTTCTTCAAATGTGTTCAGGTTGTAATCATTCAACCCTGCACAGCTGTTGACTTAAACAAAAGGAAGGACATTTGTTTTTGGCAAAAAATAAATCAGTTTCAATACCATTCCCCTAATATGTTGTTCTAGAAAATATGGCATTCTTGTACTACATTTTTACTTTTCTGTGATGGAATGCAATACAATAATATCCCTCTATAATTTGCAGTGGATGTACGTTTCGATGTACTCTTAAGCTGACAAGAAGATGTCTGCTGCTTTGGAAATGTAGCAGCAGAAAATAGAAAAGGTGTTCTCCTGCAACTGAGTTCTTACATGGTATGACATAACAGGGCACTTACTTTTACATTTTAACTCCACCCATTTTAGGATTAGCCATGAGTTAGGCAGTGTCGGTTGTAATTCTAACTAGGGTTACACATTTGTTAAAAATATTATTTAGAACTGAAAAACAGTTTTCAAGTCAATTGTATTACAGTTTTTGAGCAGAAAAGCACAGCTTTGTCAAAGCAGTATCACAAAAAATGTATCAAATCGAACATGATGTGTATTGTTGCATCCCTTTTAAATGTGATAAGAATAACAGTGATTTTAAAATATAACCTATTCAATCGTTTTTCTATATGCAAGTCTCTCTGGTATACTTCATTTGTTGTTTTTAGGTTACTGCATTTTGTATTAAACTGACGTCGGATTTTATTATGTGTTTTTAGCCATGCTAGAGCTGGTCAGTCCACTATTTAGTATCCCAACAACTTTTGGATGGATTGTCTATAATTGTGGTAATATCCATGGTGATTAGGATATGAAACATACTGACTTTGGTGATACCCCCTTTTTTTTTTTTTTCAACTGTTGGTTTGATTTGCAATGCAATTTGGTTCAGACATGCATTCTCCCTGAATGAGTTGTATTCACCTTGGTGATCCTTTACCTTTACATCTAGCCCCACCATCTGGACATTATTTTAATTGTCCAACATAATAACTAACTTTTGTAAATCCAAAATACCTATTGAATTCGAAATGCTGAATGTTGGCTAAAATGCTAAACGATAATGGTAACTATGGTAAACGTTAAATATCAGTATATAAGCATCAACATTGGGGCGTTATTGGCAGGCTGACATTAGCAATTAGCTCAAAGCACCGCTGTGCACAAACACAGCCTCAGACTGGTGCTAGCATGGCGCTAGACTCAGTATTGTTAAGTCTATAAGCTAATCCTTATGGTGGGATACTTATACATTTTATGTTTTTGGTGAGTATAGACTTTGTACTTTAAAAATAAAGACATTTTCAAACAGTTGTGCATAACTATTTATTTCACACCTTATAAAATGCCTTACAGATTTCCTTAAATACATATCCCTTGTGAAAAATAATCCTTAAATATGGCACAACACAAAATCGTGGCTTTAGAGATGTGAAGTCCATTATACATAAAGGTTAGGACTAAAATGATGTGGCATGATTTGCTTGTTGCAGATGTATTAGTTAATAGCAAATGTGTATTGATGATTAATAACTAAAACCACATTCATTTGTATAAAAGGTGAAGGAGAGTAATGAGACTTTAAACCCCATCACTCTTTACATGTAGAAACGGAAAAGCAAACCTTGTGGAGCACCACCCATCAAAAGAATACATTGATAGCAATAATTAATGAAGTCTCATAAGTTCTCTAGAAAACTAATAACTACAAAACAGAACAGAAAGATAAATGATGAAGAAAATGAATGAATGAAGAAATGACAACTAATATATCGATGAACAGTTATGTATAAAGCGGACCATGTGAGCAGGTAGAATCACTGAATGATATCTTTGTTGGGGGTTTACCCAATAAATCAAACTTTAATAGATCAATGCACTGCTCAAAAGTTGAGAGTTTGAGAAGCACCAGATAAGGTTGTGAAGCATTTCAAATATGAACTCTTATTTAAGGGAGATCTTTGTTTTGGTCTAAACCTAATAAATGCTTATTTTATGAAAAAACTTTAAATTGTATTATTTTACTTTGTTTCTGACTTTTACACGGTTCTGATGGACGGTTGAAGTTTCGCTCGCGATAAATTCAGGTCAGCACGGATTTTACATCAGGCCCCTCACATGTGGCAAACATGGGGCAAACTCTGTTATCAAAACTATGATTAATTATTATAATTATTGATAATAATGTCATACAAATGTGGTAGTGAAATTACTATTCAATTCATTCTGTGTATGTTATTTCAGACGTTAGGATAGTGCTAGGACAGCAGAACAGCCAGTGGTATTAAATAGAAATCAAACCCAAGCATACATATTAACAGTGGGTAATTGGAAGCCAAGCATAGTTGCTTACCTTCTGTTGTTGTCACTGTTGGGGCTGGGGTTTTGATTTGATTCACTTGGTTTTCCTGTGGATGAGATTTTATCTAGTCAGGGGGTGAATTGTTAAATCAGTCAGTCAGTCACCCAGTAGAGCTACTTCCTCTGCTAGAAATTCATTTTGTTGCATATCATCAACTGCAGGTGAATTCAAATGGTGTCAACGGTAAACATCAAATCTTGTGGGAAGTTGACCTGTAAAGCTAAATAAACACAAACACTCATGTTCACTCAAGCTGGCTTAACAGTGCCAGCGACTCCCCGTTACCCTCATCTGACATGCTGACCCTGTGTAGGGGCATCCTGTCAACGCAAAAAATGAGATGTCACGAGACGTCTACGTAATGGGCCATTGGCTGGCACCCAGTTCTTTCACTCCCCCAATTAATACACATACTGTAAGAGCAGGCAGATCTCAGGTAAAACAATAATCATTATTTTATTGATTATTTTATAATAAATAATACATTTATAATAAGAAGGTTGTTCTGCGCGCGCGCCCGCCATCTTGGTTCTAATGTTTGCATTCACTCCATGCAAGGTGAGCAGTATTAATTGTGGCAAATCATTTTACACATTATAACGTAAGAAAACGTCCTAATATTACATTTCTGAGACTAATGGGTTAGTTTAAATGTTTATTTACCCATTTGTGTATGTTTGGGAGTGAGATGTTTATGTTTTGTCTGCTAATTTGGTTGTTTTTATTTCAGGGTGTTAAGAGAGGCTACGGGACATTTGGGTTAAATCTTTGGTGCCGTGACCCGGATTGTGGTGCTGCTAAGAAATCTGAAATAATCTATGCAACCTAATTGATGTTTGGGGGTAAAGAGGATGCATGCAGATTAATGTGATATAACAGTTTAAAGGTCACTGCAGTATCTCCAGCCACTTATTTTACCAGTCTATTTTATGTTTGTCAGCCATTGACCATTATTACTGGGGAATAACATGCATACTTTTGCAGATATCTGGAAAGGGTATATCTAAAACTTAGGACTTTTGGATTTTGAACTATGATGCCGAACATTAAGTGCAGTTGGACATATTTTGATGTCTATTGATACTTTCATGCTTAGCAAAATAAAAGATCAGTATGGGGGTCTTATGAGGGTAGACGAAGGCGTCTCACAGTGTTTTACACGTTTTTTGTTTCAAACTTGAAGTCCAAATGCCAAGGATCAATGCCTTTGGATCAAATTGAACAGTTACATGCTAATTATTTGTCGTATTTATCCAAATCTTACGTTGGTTATAATGATCTGGTTTAATCTGCTGTTTGTATGCCCCACGCACATGGCATGGTGGACAAAGGAAATGAAACAGCTATGGATGATGGGCGATATGTCAACTCTTTCTAATGTATTTCACATCAACATCCAAAGCCAACTTTTTTCAAAGAACCCTTTCTCATTTTAAAATGCTCCCTTTTCTGAACAGAGTTCAAACCCTCAGAAGTTTCTGGACCAAGACTTTGAGCAGCTGAAACAGTACTGTATGATTAAACCGGTACGGTACATCGACGACATGTTCCCCCCTGACGTGAGGTCCATCGGGACTGGGTTACTGGAGGCTGATGACCTGAAGCGAGTGGTGTGGCTGAGACCACATGTGAGTGTTTCAGCTTTCAATTTCAAATCATATGTTTCTCTCTGCTAAATGTTCAACTGTTAAATGTAGGAACACCTAACTTGTGTTACCTCTTGTGCTAGTTGTTCTCTGACAGGCTAATATTTAACAAGTAATGTCAACAATTCCTCTCTGTGGGAGAAACTTCTGTGTAGCAATGCAGTGGGAGTCACCGACTCAGGAAGGAGACACGGGGAGAGCTGGAGCTTTGATGTCAAACACTGATGGTTTATTTAGGAGCTTCGGCCGGAGAATTCACAAAACAAGTCAAAGAGTCAGAGGTTCTGACTTCACGGTATAGTTGCCGCGTCAATTCTGAAGAACTCTACCCCAGACCCATGTATTTAGCTAGTTTAGAGAGAATAATCAACATTGTGCATAACAAGATAGAATGATAACACCTCTATCAGCTGACGCCAACAGGCAGGAACAGGGATACAAAACACTGAGAGCACAGCAGCCAAGGTTACAGGTGCGTGTGCTCAGTCAGGACAGTATGAACTGATAAACTGGGTCAAAGTTATGGGCCTTAGAAAATATTTCCCCAACACTCTCTTTCAGAAAATGGTTCCCAATCCAATGTTTGAACTTGATGGGGTCTCCAGGTTTGACTTTGGTCAAGGCATGGCTGGTATGGAAACTGCTTAATTTATAACCATAAATCCATAATCCGTATTTGTTTTTCAAGCTGTGTTAGCATTCTCAATAGGTTGTAATCTGGAAACCCTTATGTTCACATTTAACTGTCATGCCTTCTCCTTCTTATACACCTTCCTGAAAACAAATGTCCATTTCCCTCTCAGAAAACTGCTGGTTTTTCCATACTTTGCATAAGCTTTCTCCAGCAAAGCAGGCCAGAACTCAGTTGGGTCTTTGGAGCGGACAAATACCAGTCTTCCATCGATAGTTGGTAGTTTGTCATCAATGACAACCAGTGGTGTAGTGGGCGTTGGACGCGGGGGTACGCCGTACCCCCACTTATTTGGAGCACGATCTTTTTTTTAATAGTCTAATACAGGGGTACTCAAATACAAATCTTAAAGGTCCAAACTTTTTTTTTCAATAAGACAAAGGTCCGTTTATTACGGTCATTCAAACTTTTAAACAATTGCAACAAGATTCTTAAAGGAGAGGTGTCATGCTTTTCCGGTTATTACCCGTCCCCTTGTGTGTTATGAAAGTTGTTATGCATGTCAACGGTGTGCAGAGTCAAAACCCTCAAAGTACACAGAAAATACCTCCCCAAAACGCCTTGTTGGAGATACGTCATTGTCCATTTGATTCTTCCATTTCGTTCCGGGTACAGCATGATGTCAAGCCGTACCCGGAACGAAATGGACCAATCCGTGGAGCCGTTACGTTACGTCCGCGGAGCCGTTACCGCTGATTGGTCCAAATTGACTAATCCACGGACTTCCTCACACACATCTGTGTGCAGGGAGCAGGCAGCTCTGCTGATTTCTCCTCCCTGGCTGCAGGCTGATAACAGACAGTTGGGATCACGGCGAGATTCTCTCTGCAGACCCATTCTCACAGCGTTTATCAACCTTTTTCTTACTCAATATCAAGCCACACATATTGTTTTTACTTCGGATGTGAGTTTGTGTGTGCTCAGGATGAGTTTGGCTGTGTTTCGCTATGTATCCTAAACAAGGAAACAACACCTCCACGGAGCTCAGCGCGATTCACAACGTCCCAACCAATCAGAGCACACTGTGCTCACAGGGAGGGTGGGGGCTGGAGCTTTGGGAGCTACAACGAGCCGTTAAAGGCAGAGAGTGAAATTGAGTGAATACAAGTAGTTTACAGAGATGTTGTATGAGAAACCAATGTGAGTTTGGAAAAATGCACAGTATAAATCTATTTTAGTATACCTCAACAATGGAATTATGATCAGTGGAAATGGCCATGACACCTCTCCTTTAACACAAGGTTGCAAAAACAAAAATAATCTGTATGCAGCAGTTTTCATTGTTATTGTGTCTGTGCTTGATCCCTCAGAGTTGCAGTGTAAGAGCTGCACAGTTATGAATAAAGGCAGCTGCACCCTCTTTCATTCAGCATTCCCATTATTGCTTTATACATGTCTTGCCCCCTTGTGTGTCCACTGAGGTTCGTCAGGCCCAACACATCTTCAACAAACTCCCCCTTTGCCTCATCATAAAGACTCACAAACACCAGCAACTGAGCATTGTCAGTGGTGTCAGTGGACTCATCCACAGCTAAGGAAATGCACTGTGCATTTTTTATTCCATCACAAAGCTGATTAATCAAATCACCAGC